TTTTAAAATTTCTTCTTTTAAATACGTTTTCCCCTGAATTTGTGATAATTCGTTATCACGCATAGACTTGTTCTACATGCGTCAAAAATTATGATCACGCATGTGTTTCTGAAATGCGTGTTTTATCCAAAATCACTTTGAAATGCGGGACCGTCCCGCACGATGCGAGACGGTATGGTGGTAGGCTTACAGTTCATGAAGTCTAGAAGTTTAAACAAAAAAATAGGCATACAGATCGCTATAACAGGCCCGTAGCCAGGTTCTTCCAAGGGGGTTTTTCTGGCGTGAGGTTCACAGTCGAAGCCCCGGTGGGGTCGGCGAAACCCCCAAAGCAAGAGTATTTCTGTGCTTTATGGGTCTAAATAATGCTATAAAAGCAGATATGTTTGAAAATGTCTGTGTGACTGGGTGAGTCTGTAGTGCATTAGTTGGGTTGGAGGACTTATTTGGGAAATTTAAATAGGGTGTTTTGCCAGAAACTGGGGGGAGGGGTGGTTGCTAGAAAGGGGGGTTCTCCCGAACCATAAAAACCCCCTGGATACGGGCCTGTATAATCCCTTAATTGTTCATAGTGGGTTTGGCACTTACTATTCGACTTACGGACCCATCACTTCATTTCAACCTAGACGAGCAAATTCAGATTAAATTTTCCAATTCATTATTGTAAATGATACCGGTAGCGTAACGGTAAAGGCCACGGATTATATGGAGACGTCTTAACCAACTGAGCAACTGAAGATTTCGTCCGGAATTTGATCCTATTGGAAGCGCAGTACTAAATGTCACTCTCTTGTGTATGTGCGCGTATTGGCACTAGTTATCAACGTTGGGGCTGAGGTAGTAGGCCAAACTTCCATCAGTGAATGTCCCTCTCTGGGCCCTTTCTATTTTAAATTCATGGAACATGATTTAGTGCTGGCACAGATGTAACCTATTTAGTCTCAAAGGTGTGTGGTTTTAAGTAAAACAAAAAAAAAATGTCAGTTTTTTATATAAAAATCGGTTTTTACCCAAAGACACATTATCTGATTTGATTTATAAACATTATTATTGTTTTTTAATTTTAATGTACGGTGTTTTATTAACCATTTGCAATGTTTACACTTTACCTATGTCATAGAGAAAGCTGCATTACACTTCGGCCTATTTAGAATATTTCAAGAACAGAATGAAGAATTTACTGTGTATTTTAATGTATTGCTCCTCACAGTGGGTCCAGCCATAAATGGTCTTGGAGTGTCACCCGAGATCTACGTCGGCCATTAACAAAAAGACCCAATCCAAGTCCAGCACACAATAACACCGATACACTTCTTTAATGGACCGAATAAATTGAAGCTTTTGCTCAAGGGGTAAAGAATCATACGGTATATTGTACATGTATTAATGGATGAAATTAGTTATCCAAACAGTGGCGGATCCAGGAAGGGACTTTCACACATAGGTCTATACAAAAAAATACCACTTGAGTCCCACCAGGGGCTAAGGTAAGAACATTTATGGTTATGGCAGGAAATGGCACTCTCAGATTTCAAATTCGAAAATAATTTTTTTTTTTCTCCAATTTTTTTTATTTTCAAAATTTCAGAGAGGGGTGGGGGGGTCGGCTTTTCCTCCCCTTCAATCTGTCACTGCTAAGTATCTAGCTTTCAACTTCGCAAGGTTTCACATTTCTAATGAACAGCCTTAGCGTGAGTTAATCTACACACATTTAACTGCTGATACGATGCAATTTTTAATGTCGTGTAGGGCTAATGATTCACATCTCCCATCAACAGTCATCCGAACACTAATTGGTAGTTGTTGCAAGCGGATGATAAATGTATACCTTTTTGGGAATCTGATGCTATTAATTACTCATGTAATTCAACGAAGAGCATCTGAGCGCTTTGATGGAAATAATAACTGGATTCATGCTGTTCAGCATATCTACCCTGTAGATGTCCTTGAATGTTACTTTTTAGCATCAGAATGAATGCATAAATAATGTGTACCATCGATTTTGCGATCCGGTATATTTAGTGTTCATGTAATATGCTTGTTTTTGTTGCTTTGTTGCTTTGTATTTTTCCCTAAACGAACTGAACGAAACTGAAAACATGATAAGCATAAGTAAATCAAATATGTTATCGATAACGTAATAATGTATGTAAGCATATAATTGAGTTTAACTTGAAGTCATATGATAGTTTGAAGCCAACCGGCAGTATATTTCAAATATTGGCAGAAATGGATGCAAGCCACCGTGATCAGCTATAGAATGCGAACACAACTGACCAATTAGGGGTGTTATCCCATGCCTAGGAATACGCGCATGTCCCACAAAAATTCAAGCTACGTTTACGCTGTTGATTCCACATCTTAGCAACAATATCCAGCGCACAAGCATTGAGACAGCACAGGCAGCAGATAGGTCCATTTCAATACATTCTCTCCGGCAAAAAGTTAAAAATGGTAATGACGGTGTGACATGATGCCTACAAACTTTGTTTTGTTTTCCCAGTACAATATTAAACAGAAAAAAAGACTAAATTGCACAGAATGTAACACACATAGGCCTATCATATAACTCTGGCCTAAGTTGCAGAATGATACGTCAATGAACAATACGGTTTACACAGAAACAGCAAAGAAACAATGGAGCTTATAAAATCGGAGGATACTCTGATTGTCTTTGCTTTCTTTATCCGTCCAATTAAAGTAACTATTCGGTGATAGTCAGTTAGTCCTGTCACCATAAAAATTCTTCCGTAATTCGCTGTGTAGGATTAAGACACTCAACGCGCATGGAATAAAATATTGATAATTGGTTTGTAGAAGCACGCCGAAAAAAGGTGTTTACTTCTTAACAAGGTAACCGATTCAACAGCATCTATATCTACTCTGACAGCAATTTGCACATACCAATGCTAAATTCAGTATTAAATTGATCAATTGAATTGTTGATTGTTGTACTTTATTTGTTGTACTTTCTCAATTCTTAAATGAATAAGTATATTTAAAAGTATTATATCATTTTCACCATTATAATCATCATATTCTTCAACATATTCATCATCTTATGGTCGAATAAATGAAATGGCGTAATACATGTCCTGTATGTCACAATCGAGAGTAATTCCTAATATTGAAAGTGAGCCTGATCAGACTGTGGGTTGACCACATTAATTTTGTGTTAGGGTGCTCTGACAGGAAATTCAAGTGAAGTGAAGTAGGCCTATTAGCTGTGGTAATGAGGCAAAATTTCAGCAGTTGTATCAGCAACCATGACTCCTAAAAACAAACCAAAACAAAACTACACAATACCTTTTAGAAATTTTTATTTTCTATGTACTAAGACAAAATGTATATCTATTATTAATTTGCCTATCACATTCAACAATTGAACTATTTGGTCAGACATGGTTAGTGTATGGTTGTTACAGACATAACTCAACAAAACAACTGTGTATTTCTATGATTGTTTTAAGTCAGACAATAGGGACCTTTGGATTGCACGTAATGACGTCACTAAGAAGTCATCTTAGTTGCTCGGATTCTAGGATGCAATTTCATCAAATCTATGTTGTGCCGAGAACGTAGGACAGTCAAGCATAAGTGAATCCATTCTAGCATCATGTCCTCACGCAAATCGAAAGCTCCCCAATTATTTATTATTATTATTATATTTATTTTCTCCATAAAAATATATAAATATATACATCAATATAAACAATAAAAAACGACTATACAAAATTAAAACATTAAAAAAGAAAGTAAAAGAGAATTCCAAGGAACAAGGAGTATCCAGATTGCTGGTGGGTGGGGAGACGGGCACCAAAAGGAATGGAGTTCCTGTACAATAAATGTTTGGAATCCACAAGCACTCATCAGCAAAACGTATAGTCAAACAAGAAAGTTATATGAACGATTCCTTAACATATTTCTTAAAGAAATTTAAATTCTCATTACGCACAGGTAAAGGAAGGCAATTCCAACAAACAATAATTCTATGACAAAAAGAATGAGCACGTTCGTTGCATTGGGATTTTTATTACATAGAGTAGGATATTCATTTCTTACATTAAGGATGAAGTTAAACATGTTAATAATTGGGCTGATTGAACAATTTCAGGAAAAAACATGTATCGATAACTTTCTGACGTTGTTTTAGAGTAACAAAATGCCCTCCCCCGCCCCCTGTTTTTACACTAAATTTTGAAATTTTGGCGCATATCAATGTTATGTATTGAAATAAGAACAGAAAAGAATACAAATTCCCCTGTTTAAAATATTCAGGATTAACCCCCATGCTACTTTATCACCGAAAAGTCTGACCAAACACTGACTATGCCTTTTCAGTCTGGATTCCATAAAATCACTACACGCTGTCTCCGACTGTTGTGGGCAACGCTGATTCATTCGAAACAGACAGCCTTCTCGATTGCATCAGGACAAGTGTGCAGAGCAATGATTGCAGTGAAAACACTAGCGACAATTAAAGTGCACCTTTTTCCAATCATTATTCTGAGTGTCACCATTAGGTCTGTTGAAAGGAGGCACAATAAATAGAATACTGTATCAAAATTCATTTATAATAATTGCACATACATATTGCCTCCATTAATCAGCACTATTAGTAACAACAATAATATAAAATAATGAATATAATAATAACGATAATAATAATAATAAACATAATAACAAACAGTAATTAACAAATACTTGATGATGATAACAATATTAATATCAACAATTCCAAATTGATACACTTAAATAAAAAAAAAACACTGAAAAGAGTGTTTTCCACATGAAAGCACCATATATAAAAAATAAAAATCTAAAAGAAATAAAATAATCATTATTATGTACATAATAATGAAATAAT